CAAGGTTACGTTTTGAAGTACATTGTTTCTGTGATTTCTTTTTTTCTGTGAGAAAATATGACACCCGATAAATCAGTACATTTTATGCTCAAATGTGATTCTGTTCAGGCTGATTAAACCATTTGGCAGATCCCAGTGTCTCACACTTTATTTCAATGGTCTTTATTCCTTGGTGCTGATCGTCGATGTTTACCGTATTTCATAGTAGTTTCCTTGCCACTGTGTCAAATTTTGACAGCAATGTATGAGTAAGTCTCCAATAGACTACATCTAGCTACATCTACAATGAATTCCATTAGTGATTATTTTGCGAAACGACCAGCCGACAGTAATCTTGCGACTGAGCCACTGAAAAAGAAAAAAAAAACATTTCCAGTTTTTGAATGGAAGATCGGCAAGCCAGCGCACAAACAACTAGGCAAGACAGAATAAATAGCCATCAACGATGTAAATGTTGCTAACCCTGGCAGTGACTCCCTGATTAAACCTGATCTGAGTGTAGTTATTACGACAACAGACAAAATGTATCATCCGACCTAAATGTCCCGAGTTTAGTGGTCCATTGGTTCAATGACACATCTGCTGACAGATTTGGAAGAAAACAACAGCGTTCCACAAGTTCATAATCTCCTGGCGTCAGAAGTATGACTTCCCATTGGCGTTGATCGGTATCATGTACGAGACACCAATGTACTAGTATTTTGATTTGCTCCCAACAACTACATTGGAATCGTTTTGGAAGAAAACTTTCCCTTAGATCGACAGAGCTGAGAATTGACAACTTACGGTGATTCTGACTGTGTCAGGAAGCGGCTGGTTATTTTCCAATGGGTGCCCAAGCTGAAAATAAATGCACCACCTGCCTGGTGATTAATTGCCCCCGATGTCGGGACATAACTCTCATATTTATAGGTGTCTCGTTGACTTAACCAACTTCCATAGTCGACCATTATATCAGCCAGTTGTTCCATTTACTAATTCCCTAACATACGAATGAACCTGATCATGACAAGTTACGAACAGGTGTGGATTGAAAGTCGCTATGACTACAAAAAGCTGCCTCACCGAAATACATGAAAATATAAATCACGACATTAATATAAAAAAGGTCTACACATCATCTTAGAGCATGTTTATCAATATTCATTAAAATCCTTTGAATGTTTTTTGAGATAAAAAAGCCCTAAAATTGGCTAATATGCAAAATGGATGATTAGTATGCACATATTTCAATCAAAACTAATCACGTCTGCACACCAACTGCCATCATAGTCCAGAAATTATAGGGCAAGCTTTGTCAAATTGCATGTATGTAAATGTGTTGAGATGGGCGTAGTGCGAGTGG